CAACCCCGTCTGAGCTTCCTTCCACACCCAACGTCCATCCCAGACCCCCTCCTGCACCCCAACCCCGTCTGAGCTCCCTTCTGCACCCAACGTACATTCCAGACCCCACACCTCCTCCTGCACCCCAACCCCGTCTGAGCTTCCTTCCACACCCCATCCCAAACCCCACCCCCCTCCTGCACCCCAACCCCGTCTGAGCTCCCTTCCGCACCCAGCTTCCATCCCAGACCCTGCACTCCTGCTGTAGAAACATGCGGCCCTTGGCCACTTCCCAAAATCTTGGAAGTCCCCCCCCATCAAAAATTATTGCCTTCCGCTGCTCTAGGTGCTCTGACATACGAATTACGCACGTTTTGTTGGAATCGTATTCATCTGGACTACATTGCCACTGAGGGAAGTGGCTTTTGCAGCATGCCTAGAAGCACATCCGGTTCAGGATATCTGGGACCAGGTGGGGGTTTGCACTACTAACAGCTACTCGTGTCTGTCAACAGCACACAGAGGGGACATTCTGCGGCACTCGCCGGACTCCTTCCCCCCGGGGTGCTGCCCGCCATCTCGCCTGGGGCGGCCGCCCCCACGTACCTCGCTGTTGCTGTAGCGCGCGAGCTCCGAGATGAAGCGGATGTGGTCGTCGCGGATCTGGACCATCGAAAAACCAGCCTCTGTGAGCGAGCGGACTCCCGGCCTCAGATGCCTCAGCGCTCGGAGGGCCTGCCCCTTTCGGACCCCAGAGCAGGACGCACCAGTCCTCTCCCTCACCCCGAGACGTGGGACAGAGCGGGTGCGCTTTGCGTGGTCTTTTTCCTCTCAGCGGCTGGCCACACAGTGCTCCTCAGGGCTCCGACCTACCTCTTCTGCCCTCCTGCAATTCCGCCCTTCGCCCTGGCTGTGCGGCTGGGCCGTACTCACCTTCCGGCGGTGGAGAGAAGAGGACAGGCAATTACCTCTAGGCTGCGGCCCATGCTGCCGTGTGGGGAGTCCTCAGGGAACGAGTAAGCCATACAGGCTGTGCATCGCCATATGCCTACCTCCCATACCGAGAACCACCTCTGGAGAAGATCGGCCTCTGAGAGGCCAGCCTTGAAGGCCTGGCATCGGCTTTCTATCACAGCAAGGGAAGTACCTTGGCAGCAGGTAACGAGACAAGGTGCTTCCCGCCTGCTCTTCTTTCACTCCTGGTGTCTATTCCCGCCCTACCAAATGTGTATACAATTTAACATGCACTGGACTGGGCTGGATTCACACTCGCAGGGAGGCAGCATTACAGCCATGAAGATATGAAAGAACATAAGAACGGCCAGACTGGGTCAGACCAAAGGGCCATCTAGTCCAGTATCCAACAGTAGCCACGGCCAGGTGCCCCAGGGGGAGTGAACAGAACCGGGAATCGTCCAGTGATCCCTCCCGTCTTGCCCGTTCCCAGCCTCTGACAGAGGCCAGGGACACCCTCCCTGCCATGGCTCCTTTACACGGCCTGATTAAACGAGTATCTGTGCAAATAAGAACGAGGTCCAGTCAGTGAACTGAGCCCCTGGGTTCCTGATCATGAACTCGCCAGGCTTGGAGCTTGGCCTGACCACACCAATGGGTTGGGCAAACAAAGGTGAGCCCGTGGGCGTCTCGTGAATGTATCGCCATGGCGACGGCGCGGCGTATTCGGAATTGGCTCTGCACGTCACGTGATGGGCCACGGTGAGACACTCAGTGTTTGCGCGCCATGGCTCGAGGCTGCCTGAACTTTGTACCCACACATGAATTGCGTGTGGTGCGCACGTTCCCATGCGCTTCGATCCGCACGAGCACCTGGCGCAGGCACTTGTGAAGACTGGAGCGCTGTGAAGTGTTGGATGTTGCTCTCTCAGAAGCCCATTGCCCGGCTCTTACCCACTTCAGTGCCCTCTGCTTCCCTCAAGAGAAACGCAGGTTAAAGGCCAGTGCTGCACCAGCCCAGCCTGCCACACAGAAATACAGCGCCGTGCAAGAACAAAAAATAACGAATTCCATTTGGAAGGGGGGACAGAAAGGTGGAAAATGGTGAAAATGCAAGGAAGTGCAAGGAATAAATGACCCCACACACGCCTGGAGCAATTTCATAGCCAATGTCCCATGCAATTTCAGTTGGGAAGTGTGTGAGAAAGGAGCCTTTAACAAGTAAGCAAGAGCAAGGAGAGATTGTGGGGCCAGCCGACACACTAGCAATGCGATTAGATAGACAAATGGCCAGCTAATTAAACTCTAGGGGTGTGTCTACACTGCACCGTAACTCGAAATAAGAGACGCAGTTTGAGCTATGCAAATTGCGTGTCTTATTTCGATACTATTTCGAAATAGCTTATTTCGCCATTTGGCACTGGCTACAGAGCACCAAATTTTGAAATAAAGCGCTATTCCGAAACGTCCCTTACTCCTCGTGGAATGAGGTTTACAGGGATGTCGGAATAGCGAGCCCAAAATAACAGGCTTGCTGTGAAGACACGGGATAGCTGTTTTGGGATACGCTGGTGTCCCAAAATAGTGTTGCAGTATAGACATACCCTAGGATGGCAAAATAAGAAGAGCGGGTGGAAATTTTTCATTGAACCTTTTTTAAAAAAACAAATGGCTTTTTGACCAAAACAAACATTTTCATTTTGGTCACGTTTTTCCACTGTATTATTGATAAATTGCATTAACAAAATCTGAATATTGATTTTGGGAAACTGAAAACTGAAAAACCAGCCAACCAAAATGTGAAAACTTGTACCAACCAACCAAAAACTGTTCCCCCCCAAAAATTTTCAAAACCCACATCTTTGCCAAAAAAAAAGAAAAAAAAAGTTCTGGTGGGAATTTTTGAATCCTCACCCACTAAGTTTCAAAATTCCTTGCAAAAACAATGAATATTGTCCAGACAGCTTGAAGAATGAGGGATGGAGAGACACTTCCTTGGGATGGAGTGAACTGAGTTTGAAGCACCGAGCTCACTTTATGCCGACTTGAATTGCATGTCACAAAACCCAGGAGTGGTCGCCGAACACAGTGGATAGGGCTGGTTTAGGACTGATCAAAGGCTAAGCGGAGACACGTCTTTTATTGCTTCTCTATGATTTGGTCTCACAGATGAATCCCTACAGCTGGTGGGAAGCCAGAAGGCTATCAGGAACTCGGGCCACCCATGCCTTAGCCAGGCACTGCTTCTATGCCTCCTGATCCCAGCTCGAAACAGGGACCCCCACAACTGCACAACTGTCTCTGGCTTTCTCTGGAGCAACGCCTGGCCACAATGCAGACCGGTGTGACTTCGTGGGCGTGACCTACATTGACACCTTCGCACTCGTTTCATGGGAGAGCAAAATGGGAATTGAATCCAGACCCAAGACTATTTCACAAACCCACAGCGCTGGGGAAAATGGAATCACCCCGTTAGGAAATTCATGTCAAATGGACTTGAGTGGTAGCTGCAGCTTTCATCCTCCGGGTCCTGCCTGAAAACCGCCGCCCCTTACGGTACTGGACAAGCAACCCTGCTTACTGCACGGATAGAATGCAGTGCTGCGTCCATGCTCTGGGGGATTTTGAACCCGGATCAAAAAAGTGGATTAAAATCTGCCCAGAGCAGGCACACACCACTCACATTCACACACCTGCCGGTGCCCCAGCGTGCCCCACCCCCATCCCGTGAACATTCAGACCTGCATTCGCTGCTGCCCACCTGTGCAAGTCCACAAGCGGGGGCACAGAGCTGCACAACACCCTTGCATGCCTCCACATTCGTGTACCTAGACTTCACACTTACACAGACGCACACTCACAATCACCAGTGACTGCGAGCAATACCCAGGCGCACACACACACGCACTACCTGTCTCACACCCGCACAGACACCTGACCTCACAGACACACTTCTGTGTCCATGTGCTCACTTTCCTACACACACACGCGCACACACTACCTGTCTCACACCTGCACAGACACCTGACCTTCCATTCTGGCATGCTCGCTCCTGTGCGTTCCAGCCACCCAGCTCCCTGGGCACACGGAGCCAGCCATGCCTGGCAGCTCCCTCCCCTTTCCGGACATGTGGAAGCCAAGAGACATTACGGCAGGCACTCACTTGGATTTGTTCTCCTCATAGTGAGCACTGGTCTTAATGTATCTGGCCAGTTCTATCTGCATATCGCCGAATAAAGGAACCACCTGCAGCTGCTGGAAAAGAAAACACAAGATGGTTGAGATATGGCAGAGGCTGTTCTTTGGTTGGAGAGCTACAGAAAAGACCCCAAGAAGGCGTTCTATTCCCAGGAGGTGCAGGGTTGGGCCTCCTGGTCAAGGGGAAGGTGCACGCTGGACAGACAGTCATCCTGGATGTTGAAAACAACTGAAAACTAATGCCAGGCTCTTTACATAGGGAACTCTCTGCCCTCTTGGTTTTGGGACTACCCTGTTTATTGCTCAGTCATGTACAAGACCACATCTCCAGCCCCCGGGGGGTCCCTAGACAATGGGCCACGCAGAAGCACAAGCAGCTGTGGGCGAGAGAAGAGTGGATTTATGGAAAAGATAAACACATAACCCTGAGGAACTCACCCTGTCTCGACCCTGGGCCCCTAAAGAGAAATAAAGAAGGAAGCTGGCATTTGGGGTTCCTGCTGCTTTGAATCTCGGCAGGGATCCAGGGTCCCTGGCCTTGGGCATTGGTGGCACCTCAGCCCCTCCTCTCACAACAGTTTAGTCTCCTGAGGACCAAAATGCTTTAGTCTAACATGGGCTCAACACAGGGGTCACTGGGGGAAGGTTAAAGGCCTGTGATATAGAGTAGGACAGATTAGATGGTCTTCTCTGGCTACAACATCTATGAAACTCATAGCAAGAGACTGAGGCCAAGTCTACACTACAAGAGAAGGTCAATTTAAGATACGCAACTCCAGCTTCATTAATTACGTAGGTGGGGTCGATGTACCTTAATTCAAATTTCTGTGCAGTCTTCATAGTGGGAGGTCGACAGGAGCAAACGCTCCCGTTGACTTCCCTTACTCCTTGCAAGGAACCAGCCATGGAGGAGGCACCTTCTGAGTTCAATTTAGCAGGTCTTTACTAGACCTGCTAAATCGAACTCTGGAAGATGGATCACAGCAGCGTCATGAAGACATGGCCTTAGGTAGAACAGGGTGGGATGACTTCCTGATGCATCTCATACGGGAAACAGACCCTACAGTGATCTCTAAAGTTCAGTGGCCAAACAGTTGAACAAGCCAGACCCCTTCCCTCCCCCTGCTGACTGAAAATCAGAATTTTCTCCCCATCAGAAAGCCATCTGTTGAGGCACTGTTGGGTCCAAAGCATTATACTGTTTCTGGCATGGGCAATTCAGGTATCCTGCTGCCTGGGAAAATGACAGCAATGCCCCCTTCCTCCCCCAGGGTTGACCTCCCTATCTTGGATGTGAGGCTGGCTGTAGGGTTGCTGAGGAGGTGGCCTAAAACAGACCAGTGAAGCTTCGGAACACAAGCAGTAACCAGTTGCCAGACAATGTCTGTTTTAACAGGGGTTCTAAGAGAAAATATATTTTCATTGGCTGCCAAGAGAACAGCCATAAGCCTGAAGTCGCTGGAGGACTGCAACTGGGACAGTTTTCATCTAAAGTGGAAAAGCAACCCCGGAGAACAGGGGTAGCGAGTTCCCAAGGCAGGGCTATCGTTGCCTGTGGGGTTGTTCCCAGATTAGCTCTGCGTGCTGGCTTTGCAAAGTGGTCACTAGTGATCCCCAGTGGAACGTCCAGGGGCAGTATCAATGACAAGATCGTTTCCTTCAGCGCTCACGATGCTGGCCCAGTCGCTGGAGCTGTCGTTGGAAAGACAGAAGCTGTTGCCGACGGCCGTCGGCTGCCTCTCCATGCGGGAGAGGAAGATGCACAGTGGCGTCTGAGCAGCAGATGCAGTATCCGTAGGTGCCAGCGGAAATAAAGCTGGGATGACCACAGCTCTTCAGTGCAAAGAACGAAGTTTTACTTTGACTGGGGGGGAATGATCTAAAAGTCAGTTGTTCTCTGTCCCTCGTACAAACAGCTTCACAACCATCAAACTGGCTTTAAATGCACCAAAATGTCCCAGCTCTGCAGAGAACGGTGAAGACTTGATTTAAACTGAGCCAAAGAACCAAGCCAAAAACATGAGAGGGAAAGTGTCCAGATGACTTTAATACATTTCTTTTGCAGAGGCAATGAATAGTATAATGAAGTTCCTGGGGATTCAAGGTTAGCTGAACATCTCCTTCCACGGGCTCAACAGATCAGCCAGACATAAGAATGGCCATACTGGGTCAGACCAAAGGTCCATCCAGCCCAGTATCCTGTCTGCCGACTGTAGCCAATGCCAGGTGCCCCAGAGGGAGTGAATCGAACAGGTAATGATCAAGCGATCTCTCTCCTGCCATCCATCTCCACCCTCTGACAAACAGAGGCTGGGGACACCATTCCTTCCCCATCCTGGCTAATAGCCATTGATGGACTTAACCTCCATGAATTTATCTGGTTCTCTTTTAAACCCTGTTATAGTCCTAGCCTCCACAGCCTCCTCAGGCAAGGAGTTCCACAGATTGACTCTGCGCTGTGTGAAGAAGAACTTCCTTTTATTTGTTTTAAACCTGCTGCCCATTAATTTCATTTGGCGGCCCCTAGTTCTTATATTATGGGAACAAGTAAATAACTTTTCCTTATTCACTTTCTCCACACCACTCATGCTAGACCTCTATCATATCCCCCCTTAGTCTCCTCTTTTCCAAGCTGAAAAGTCAAATGAAAATCAAGGGAAGCAGCTCCCACCGTGATATCACCATGGGTTCACAGGAAGCATCGATAGTGATGAGGTAGCAAATCGCAGCCCTACGTAAGGGGGTAAAATCCCTTTGTGGTTTAGGAATATTCATCTGTTAAGCACAAGCCAGGTTTTCATTTTCACTTGGATAGAGCAAAAGCTATTAATGGTACAGGAATTTCCACCCCACCCTCCATTTTAGGAGGGAAATTACGTCAGCAGAACTTGATGGAAGGAAAGTTCTTGGCAAAAATAGCTCTGGGCAGCAGAACTCGATGGAAAGTTGGATACAACATATTTCATGAGGAAAATGCCCTTGAGTCTCCTGTTCGTGGCAGCAGCTACAACAATTCGATGCCAGATCTTACCATGTCTGCTCATCCTGATGTGACCGAAATCGGAAGGGCCAAGTTATGGCTGGCTCTATGCAATGAGGGGGGAAGATGTTCCCTTTTCTAGGGAACAGCTGCAGTCCGAGACAGGCTAGGTACTAGACTACCCACAAAAGGAAAGGATAAAGACAGAGATTTGGCCTCTCGCTCTTTCTGAGAGAGATAGTGGAGCTAGGCTGACACGGGTGGTCACCCTAACATACATGGACACCCCCAGAAGGAAACTGAGTGGAATCAGGCAGAATTTGTCCAGGTTCTCCAATCCCTGCACAGACCCTTGGCAATCCCCGTGCACAGCACAGCACGGAGTGACTGCACAAGAGGTTTTTGCGCAAAAAAGCTCTGTGTAGACGGCTCTTTTTTGTGCAAAAACCTTTTGTGCAAGGGCGTTCTTTCTCACAAAATGAGGAAGAACAGTTCTTGCGCAAAAGGGATCTGAGGAGGAAATGCAAATGAGAGCGTGACATATGCAACTGAGCATTTCTTCTTGCGGAAGAGGCTCAGAGTGTAGACGTAGCCTCTGTTACTAGCAAGCTGCCTTTTCGCTCACGCAGTAGAGGCTCCTGCACTAAGCTCCAGAGGCCCTCGATGTGATTTCACCTGTTGGTGCTACACTAGTACAAACGATGCTCAGAAATACGCCACCCACTCACCCAGATTCATGGCAATCCACCTGTCTCCGCTGGTTCCAGAAGGTCTGGACCAGGCTCAGGATTCTTTCTCCGTTTTCTGACCTTTCAGGGAGTTTGCCCTTTGCTTTCAAAATCACACCCACGCATTATGGGTCATTCACTTACAGCATCTCTCAAACCTGCCCAGGCCACTGACCTTGAAGAACTTGTCTATTTTGCTAAGATTGATTCTCTTCTTGGTGTCCAGTTTGTAAATGTTGCTGACATTCCCGTCCATCAGATACAGTCCAAAGCCCATCACCTGGAAGGACATGGGGACAGCAGGAGAGGCAAGAGTCACTGTCACGAAACGGTAAACAGACAACAGAGGTCGGGAGGGAATTCCTTTGTATGGGATGACCAGAGCTCTTCAGTGCAAACAACGACATTTTACTTTGACTGTTGTTCAGAAAACCACCCTCATTCCCTTCCAGCCCAAGGGTCTGGGTGAAGCAATAGCAATAGGAGGAGAAAGAACTAATGGAAAGAAATGACTATAGTAAATTTAACTGTGCCCTTCAAGGTCAATGTATGAAAAGCAGATATTTTCTTGGATGCTCGTGGTCCGTTCTGTAAGGCCCAGTGGGTCCCCAAATCACGCCTGTAGCATTGCTAGGTAGTGAACCCCTCCGCAGGGCCAAGCAGCAGCCGTGGCAGCCTCTTTGCACTCCCTTACCCACAACCCTCTGCTGGCACAGACCACAGGAAGTCCCGCCTCAAGACGAGCAAAGACGGCCACCTCGTGGCATCTGATTGGCTCCCCTCCCAATATAAATCCAAGGGGTGGATCAGGAAGTACCCAGCAGTGACTCACTAGCTGGTTGCCATGACCACCCTGCATTCTCTGTTCATGAACTCCCACTATTGATTTCAGCTCTGATGAGGAGCACGCCTCCTGCTCGAATCCCAGAACGTGGACCCGACTCTCCGGATTGACCCTTGGCCTGATGCCAAACTGTCTGTGGCTTGACTAGTGACGCTGAGTCCTCGCGGTTGTTCCTGCCTGCCACTCATCTCACCTACTTCTACCCCGGTTCCTGACCCATTCCCTCTGCGGCCCCCCGGCCCATCCCTGCCGGCGAGGGGCCTGAGCAGCATCATTCAGGGCTGCACATTTTGGGAGGGCTGAGGATTTGGTTTGCTGCATGATGCCGATTTGGTGCCTAAACACTTGTGCGTGACAGGCAGCAACACCTCTTCTCCACCGTGCACAGAGCTCCCCCAGTTCATCAGCGAGAGGCTCCGGCTGGCTGAACACATGGTACAGCCGTTCAGAGCCCTCCAGGCAGGATGGATTGTGCTGCAGAGCTCGATGCAGGAGAAAGCTGGTGGTGAGGGGAGACAGGGAGCAGAGGGAAGAGAGAAGGAAGGAGGGGAAGAAAAGAGTCTGTGGAAAGCAAGCAGACAGGATGGGGAGAATAAAGAGGAGAAAAGACTGAGCGAAGCCAGCCCGCGCCACACAGGGATGTCAAGGAGGGAACGGAAAGCAGAGGAAACAGGGAAGATTATGGATTCCCAGCCAAAAGAGTAAGGGGGTATGTTTACACTGTATTCTTCTTTCAAGAGAGGAATGCAAATGCAGAGGAATGAAATTGCACATGAAGCGCGGATTTGAATTTCCTGCACTTCATTTACATAATCGCAGCCGGCCGCTTTTTCGAAATACCCTATTTGGAAAAAAGAAACGCTCTCTAGACATGGTTATTTCGAAAGAAAGCCCTTCTTTGGAAATTACCCCTCCTCCTTATAAAATGAGGTTTAAGGGTTATTTTGAAAGGAGGGTTTTTTCTCGAAATAACCGTGTCTAGACAGCGTTTTTATTTCGAAATAGGGTATTTTGAAATAGTGGCCGGCCGCGATTATGCAAATGAAGCACGGGAAAGTCAAATCCGTGCTTCGTTTGTAATTTCGCTCGGCTGCATTTGCATCCCTCTCTCGAAAGAGGAATGCAGTGTAGACACACCCAGGGACAGAGGCAGGCGCATGGGTGGTGGGCAGGGGCATATATAGGGCAGGGCGAGCGGGACGGCCGCCCTGGGCCCGGCGCTTCAAGAAGCCCCGCGCATGTGCCGTGGTACCACCGCGCATGCGCCATGTCAAAGGGGGGGCCCCACGAAATTGTGCTGCCCTTCAGCGTGGCTCCTGAGCTACCCCTCAGGCTTCAGCCAAGCTCAGGCTGGGACTGTGCCCTGCCCACCTTCTGCATGGCCCAGGGATGAGAAGGCTCACGCAGACCTGCTACTGCAGAGGGAGGTGCCTGGCGGGGGGAGGGGGAGACTTGGAAGCCTGCCAATGCAGTGGGGAGGGTTTAATTCTTGCAGGAGGCGGGGCCTCAGGTGGAAGAGGCGGGGCTCGGGGGGTTGCCTTCCCCGACCCGAGGCTCCCCACCATCCATGGGAAGGAGAACAGGCTGGGGAGGGAAGCTGGTTTTGCATGGAGAGACCCCACGCGCATCCGACCCCGCGAAGGAGGAAGGGAAGGGAGAGAAAACCAGATGTGGGGACACAAAGGGGACGAGGAGCAGCAGCCAAAGACCGCGGGAGCGAGCGCAGGAGGGGTTTACCTTCAGGAGCATGTGCTTCTCGCTGGGCGTCAGGTACATCTTGTTTTCGTAGTAATCCACGCAGATGTTGACGATATCCGCCAGCAGCTCCTCGTAGCCAGGGATCACTTCCAGCTGCTGATGCAGACACTGAAACACCAACAGCCCCGCATTAACCACCCAGTGGAAGGGCCAGTCAGAGGAAAGGGGAGGAAACGTTTGGTGGATTGAGGCGCGTGATTTTCACCCTGCAGTTGGCAGACTGACCCGGCTATCTGGGTTGGGCTACATGGCTGGTGGGTCTCCGTCACCATGAGTCTGTGATGGAGGCCACAGCTTTCAGAACCAGCTGCGGGAGGAGAAAGTCACCGGCTGGCCTCCCTTGAGGCTGTAGAAGAAACGTGAGCTTTCCTAGTGCACCGGCCACGAGAAACAAACCCCCTTTCTCCAGCTCTCCGGCCCTCAGGACCAACACTCCACTCAGATGGATATTTCCAGCGCAGTTCCCAGGGACCCAGCATTAACACCCAAGTGTCACATGGAGACGTGACAGGCAGATGAGAAATGATCCGGCTCAAGAGGAGACTGTCCATTCAGCTAGAGTCCTCTCTTCGATTCATGTCATGTTCTAGCTCATTGGCACAAACCATGGACCAGAAAGCAGCTTTTTGGGGCTGCTAACCCAGCGGATGAGTGGAAGTGTGGAGCTTCCTTTTGCAACACATGTTGCCCTTCCCAGCTCCAGCTGTATTTCACGTTGGGTGTGTCTAGACTACAGGGTTTTTAAAAAAAAACTTCCTCTGTGTCTAGACTGCTGCCACGTTCTTTCAAAAGTAAATTGAAAGAATGCGGCACTTTTTTTTCAACTGCGGAAAACCTCGTTTTACGAGGAATAATGCCTTTTTTTTAAAGCGCTCTTTCGAAAAAAGGCGCTCTGTAATGCAAACTGTGCTTTTTCGAAAGAGAGCCTCCAGACTGCCGAGTGCTCTCTTTCGAAAAAGTGGCTTGCTTTTTCAAAGGTCCTGGTTGTAGTCTAGACGCTGTTTTTCGTAAGTAGACATAGCCATTGTATGTGTGTGTAACAGCAACAGACCCCGGCTGTCTGCAGGCGGAATCAAACCTGTGTGCTCCGGATCTTAGAACAAGAGTCTCTACCACATGAGCTAAAAGCCAGCTGTTAGCTATGGCTGTAGAACATACTCATCATGCTCTCTGCCCTGGTCTACCCTAGGGCATTTAAAATACTCCGCTGTAGGTTGAATTTATAAGCGGAGCGTCCATACCACCAAGCCTGTTATTTCGAAATAACAGGCCACTTATTTCAAAATCTCTACTCCAGCTTTCCTTGGGGAATAACGCTAATTTCAAAATAGTTATTTCGAAAAAGCGTTAGTGTGGATGCTCCAGTGCTGCTGTTTTGAAATAACTACTCCCCAGAGTCAAAGTAATTACTCCCCAGTGCTTCCTGGAGCTCTAAGTCGAGCTAGTGCATGCGTGTACATTAACAGAGCCTGCCTTGGACTCGTTTCGAGGCTTCCCCACAGTATGGAAACACTATTTCGATGTTGTTAAATCGGGAGTTATTGGGTTAAATTTACTAATTTCGAAGTCGTTTCCTAGCGTAGACATGGCCTCTGTAAGTGGTCTAATTGCCACGAGGTGGGATACTGAGCCGTACCCAGCGTGTGTGTGTTACACGTCTCATCTGGAGAAGATTTGGGGCCTAGATGCACCGAGC